AGTTTAGTATAGCTACATTATTCTCAATTGTCTATATCAGGGATCAGCAACCTTAAACACTCAAAGAGCCACGAAGGACCTAACTGGAAGCACCCCATTCAATGCTGGAGCTGACCAGAAGTCCAGTTCCCCCACCATAGGGTTTCCTCCTAGCACGGCATCCTTTTTCCTCTGCTGGTTGGAAGTCCGGTTCCCCACCCCCAACCATAGAGTATCATCCTAGCATGGCGCCCTTTTTCCTCTATCTGTCCTAACCAAAATCCCTATCAACTGTGAAAATGACTGGAGACGGAGCTGCAGTAGAGGGATGAAAGAGCCACATGCAGCTTCAGAGCCACAGGTTGCCGACCCCTGCTTTATATAATACTTTAGTCTTATTATATGTTTTATGTTGTATGAACCAATAAAATGAAATAAGAGGGAACAATACATTGGAATTGCTCTTCCTCTTATTTGCAATATGTCTACTGTGTTTCCAGCCAGATTTGTTTGCTGCCATTTAAAATCCATTTTCATTTTAAGTGAGGATTTGGAACCAGCGTATACATTTTAATCTGGTTCTTATGTAGATTTGATCAAAAATCCTTATTCAGATATTTTTTTCTAACTGGATGATACATAATGGTTATTAATTTATTCTACATTTACAATTTAATAATGGGTCAGATATTTAGAAATAATGCCTATCCCCAATCCTTATCAAAATACTGTCCATTTTTGGCTTTTCCCTTTTGAATTTTCAGATTAAAGCTTGGAGATAATAAAGTTTTACAAATGTGGAATTAAATATAAGCTTTTAAAGCGCAACTCATAATTCACTTATATATATGGAAAAAGCCCTAAACATTTCTTCAGTTGCATTCAAAATTTGGAGGAGATTCTATCTCTTGGTGAAGTGTAATATTGCATTTGATGAAATAATTGCTTTTATGTTAGGCACATTCACATGTCTGCAGACATGCTTCTAGGACAGCTGTGAGAATCCCGTTGTCTGGCTCTTTTGCATCCTTGTTGATCTTCCTGAATGTCTTCCTCTGGATTTGCCACTTCCTTTTTCTTTGGATTCCTGGGATGATGCTGCAGCTGCCAAAGAATGTTTATAGGCAAAATAAGAGTCATATTGTGTAATGCCAATAATAGTCTGCTGGAATAAATTTATTCCAGCCCAGAGGTAGTTAAAATATCATGAACATAGCTGGAGAAGTAACCCAATTCACTGTAGTTGGAATAACATATGCTGATAAATGCAGCAGAATTCTCTGTTCGGTTCATTCGCCTCTGAAGAGGTTTTTAGACAGTGTCTAAAGGTCAGTGTCCAAAAGCTGGTCAGTTGAGTCCACATTCTAATCTAGAGTGGGTAGGAGAGCATCAGAGGTGGCTTTCTAAAACAAATGATGTAAGTAACAAGGGAGGGAAGGCTTGAGGAACATGGCTGCTGGAATTCTTTCCAACCTCACAACTGGCACTAGCCATAAAAAACACCTCTGTTTGTGCCATATTGCATCAGTAATTAGATTTCTTTATGTCTGCCTTTGTTGATATGTATGTGTCTTCTGGAAAGAACAGGATGGACTCCACATGATGTGCTTTGGTTCAGGATAGAGGCAGGGAGCTCAGAATGGAAAGGTTACTAATATTTATGATCTGTTATTAATATATGATGTTGCCCAATTGTTTCTTCTGCGGAGATGCATTCTGGGAAATATGGCGATTCCCCCCCCCCCAGCCTATTTTTGAACTAGAATTTTATTTTATCAGCTTCTCTCCCTATGCCAAATCTAATCCTG